AAAAGCTATAAAATATAAAATACCTAGGAAAACCTAAGAAGAAATATGCAAGTCCTATGTGATCTATAAAGTTCTGCTGAAGGACATAAAAGAAGACTGAAATAAATAGATATGCCACATTTCTGGCTGGGAAGCTTTAATATAATAAAAATGTATATTCTCCTCACATAAACTCATATATCTAAAGCAATCTTGATAATTTCACCAAAATTTTTATAGAATTGATAAGGTTATTCTGAAGTTCACTTAGAAGAGAAACTGAATAAAAATAACTGAGAAGATGTTGTGAGTGTAACATATCATGAAGTTCTGCTAATAGTATGTAGGAATATATAAATCGGTGGAGGAAGATAAACTGCTTAGACACAAATCAAAGTATGTATGGGATGTAGTTTATAATAAAGATGACAGTGCAAGTCAGGAGAGAAGTATAGATTATTCAATGATGGTTTTGGGGAAACTAGACAGGTATATAGAGAAAAAACAAGTAAATTTCTACCTCATCCCATATTCTAAAATTTAAATTCCAAATAGGTTAATATCTAAATACTAAAAAAAGTTTAAAGTAGAAAAGAAAAACATCAGAAGATATTTTAATAATTTAGAGTGAGGCAGGCCTTCTTAAGCGAAACATAAAACCCAGAAATCTTAAAAGATTGACAGATCTGATACTTAAAAGTTTTATATTTATGCATGGCAAAAGATACCATAAACAAACTTTAAAACCAAATGTCAGACTGGAAGAAAATATTTGTAGCATGTATTTTAAAGATTTAATATTCATCATGTATAAATATTTCTATAAATAAGAAAAAATAGCCAATAGAAAAATGAGAAAAGACTGTGAATAGACAGTTCATAACAGATAAAATATAAGTAAAGGGACTGATAAGCTTATGAAAAGATACTCTACCTCACAGGGACATGTCAGGGAAATAATACTCATCTTTCATTCCTCAGATTAGCAGAAATTAAAAATATTGATTATTTCAGAGTGAGTTATGTCAGCAAAACAGCATACATCTGCCTCTTTCTATAGGGCAAAGGATGGCAAGAAAGGGGTGCATTTATCTTTCTCCACTCCAGTCAAAATAATCCTGGAATAATCATCTCACTATCATCTTTCCTGGTGAAGCCTTTCAAGGCCAATTCAAATGCCGTCTTCTCCAGAAGCGCCACTTTTACTCTGGAATTACCTTTCTTTCAACCATCCCTTCACAGGAGTATCATGCCACTGTTACATTGTTCCTCTGTATCTATATCCAAAATGCCCCTATTATAGCACATTATGACATGTATTAACATCTACCTCAAAGGACTTTATTTTTGCCTGATTAAACACTGAAAGCTCTTAAAGTCTTTATCTTTTTCTTCCCTGGATCCTTGGCACTTGGCACAGTGTCTCACACAGGGGAGAAGTTTTTAAAACATTTGCTGACTAACTCACCATACTGAAGATTCCCAGGATAAAAGGACAAAGTTCCTGTCCTTGAAGTACTCATAGCTAAGTAAGGGAGATAAAGCTCTGAATGGACAATCAGAATGCAAAGATACTGCTAAGAGATGAGACTGCTAAGAGAGGGGTGTACAGGATACTGTGTGGACTTCGGGGTGGAAGAGAATGAATCAGCCCCCTTGATTCTCTGTGAGGGCTTAACCAAGTGTTATACTCTGGCCGTACTCATCTCCTTCTAGCTCTAAAACCACCCCACCCTGACCCTTCCAGGCCATTTCCTACTCCTGGCTTTACTCATGCTGTCTTCACTGCTTGGACTGCTCTTGATCCTCCTTCACTTGGCTGACCCAGCTCAAATATCACTTCCGTTAGGAAACCTCCTCTGCCCTCTTCCCCTCTCCCTCAGCCCAAGCTAAGTGTATCCTCAGCACTGTCTCTGAAGTCAGTGCATGCAGCTTAACCTTAGGACCCACCAGGTCATAACAAACTTACCTGTGTTATGTGGGTCTCTCCAACAAGACTATAAACTTTTGTAGGACAGAACCATGTCTTACTCATCTTTAACTGCCTTTCCTCCTGTTATCACAGAGTTTGGCACATAGTAGCTGCTTAATAAATACTTGTTGAAAACCAAACAGAAAGAAAACAAGACAGTATGACCTATTAAAGGAACGGTAAGCAGCTCTATTCATTAATTCAACAAATCCTTGATTTCCTACCATGTGCCAGACATTGCTAGGAGCTGGGGAGAATGGTGAGCAAGATACCAGCCCTATTCCTAGGGATCATACAGTCACACTTCACGTGGCTGGAGTGTAGAGTGTGAATCGAGGGGTGGGGAGATGGGGGATGCACCTGGAAGGTCACCTGGGGCCAGATCCTGAAGAGCCTTGTGTGCTAGGCTAAAAAACAAAATTAAATCAGGACTGGGAGGTGGGCAGGAAGGCTGCAAGGGCAGAACAAGTCAACAGGGCAGGCCAAGTTCTCTACCCTGCCAGCGCTTTTCCCTAGGCCTGAGCAGGGTCTCTCTTTTCAGTGACTGGGAGCCACACTCACCTATGGGCACAATGATCCCAATAACAGCGGCAGTGACTGTGGAGCCCATCTTACTGTCTTCATTCCCATCTGTAAAACACAAACATTTGCAGAATGATGCTCTGTCACTGTGTGTCCAAGCCCCTACTGGCCTCAAGTGGTAACAACTACCCAACTGCTTCTCATCCTCATTCTAAAATGATGATCCTGGCTGTTGCCTAATAATTCAGTCTTTCCAGATCCTATCACAACTCCTGTGAGGCAAGCAGGACAGAGGTTATCTCCATTTTACAGGCAAGGAAACTGAGTCTTAACTGAGGGGTTTGGGGACTCACAGAAAAGTGGCAGAGCTGGGACTCGAACCCAGGACTCTTGCCCCAAGTCCCATAACCTTTCCACAGCATCATAGTGGTAGGAAGCTGGGGGCTGTGCATGGTAAGGTGAGCACTTAGGTCTTTGTGTTGCTGATGGACTAGGTCATTTGCCTTTTTCCATCAGTATCTGTTGCTTTGCCAGTATTGTTTTTGGTGAGCTGTCTGTCCATCTGCATTATCAGATTATTTTTCATAAGTAATTGAAATGGGACATAGTATAGTGTAGAGGAACCAAGAGCACAGTCTTCTGTGTCAGACTTCTGGGTTCAAGTCCCAGCTCTACTACTCACTACCCATGTGACCTTGGGCAAATTATTATATATTATAAATACAGCACATGATATTATACTTTTATATCTTTCAAATGGTGATATTACCTACCTCCTAGGGATATGGAAAGGATTAAATGAAATAATTTATCTAAAATGAATATAAAATGCTTGGCACAACTTTGCCTAGTTCTAGGAGTGAGATAGGGGTTGTTGTAGGGTCTAAATTTTAAAAAGGTATGTAAAAGCACATTTTAAACTGAAAACTGCTTGGGAAATTTACTGTCTTTTTGAAAAACTATGCCATGCCATCTTCCTCACTCTTACAACCATCTTCATTGTAACATTTGTGAAGCACTTCATAGTTCAGAAAGCATTTTTCCCTTAGATCCTCCTGACAGCTCCCTGTGGTGTGAAAAGGAGCTATCATCTACATTTGCTGCAGGTGAGGAGATGACTGGCCCTGGCAATGGCCCAAGGCCCATCCTCTCTCAGTGTGACTGTTTATCCATGTTACT